AAGAATTAATTAACTAATGATGCCATCATAACCTATTGATACTTTATATTCCTTCCTTCCTTCCTGAGTATAAAATTTATTTCAAAGACGTTGACTAAAAATGACCTCTTAAAGTTATCTGCTATATTTTCTGAAAAATTAACTAGACACGTTTATTTTTTCTGTTTGTGTCATGCCATTTTTATAGAAGAGGATCTAAAAATGGTTTAATTCTAATAAACCATATTGACAAAGTCCAAAAGGACAACCACAGAGTAAGGTTCATTTGTAAGGTTCAAGAGAATCAGTGCAGAGATCTTCTCCAAATTGCATTTGTTTCTTGTCACCCTTAAAAGTAAAGGTTTATGTTTGAAAAATAGAGAACGCTGACCTCTTATATTACCATCTATTCTTTCTCAGGCAAGGATAAACACTTTTTAAGAGTGTTTTTTTTTTTTTAAACAAGGCTAAATTTTCTTTGCTTTAAATCTGTTTTAGACCAGATACCGCCGCAACTGTGCAGTGAGAAAACGCCATAGAACTGAATTAATTGATCAGACTTAAGTAGCAAGTATACTTCTTGCATTAATATTAGCTGGTATTTCATATGACATTTAATTCTAAATGGGTAGCTTTATTGTCCATTAAAATTCAGTGTCATCTCAAGAATAGGGGATAACTGCTTTCTAGGATATATAAATGTCAAAGCTTACTGATTTATTTACATTTATTTGGCTGTTTCTCCTGTTATCTTTTAAATTATTAGATTAAACCATACAAAGTTGCCCTTTTTATGTCAAAATAGTCAAATATCGGCAGTTTCATGGTTCAACCTTGTAGGATAAACAGACTACTTAATTTCTGTGCTTCACTGTGACCACCGTTTCTGATGTAGTTGCTTCTTTCCCGGAGGCCGAATTCGGACCCACAGCTGTCTGCAGTGTCTCCAGACTGAACTCTTTCCAGCGGGTGACGGCCGCCATGGACGGAGGGGCCAAAGCATCCCTGGGTACGCGGTCTGTGGGCTTTCCCTAGCACTGGTCTTGATTCTTCCACTCAGTCTTTATTCCTTGCTCATTAGTGATGATTGTAGTTTGCTAATGAAGATGAGTTTATTGGAAGAACCACTCTTCACCCATCTCATACTTGCCCTGTGTCTCCTTAGGCTCTTTCACTCATTCATCTTTACCCCATTCATTTGCCAGTAAGTGCCGTTTTAAAAATAAGATAAAAACGTTGTTCCCCAGTAAAGGGTTAAACGCTTTAAAGTTTGAAAAATGCATAATTTCGTGGTGTGAATAGAAGGAAAAGTACTAGACTAGGGTTAGAAAACCTTGATCTGCCTCCTACTGAATAAAAGGCCTTGGAGAAAGTAATTTAACATCTGTGGGCCTATTCCTTTATGTTTAAAGTATAAATAGTACATTCTTTATCCATATTCACCTAAAGCAGGATCAAATGAAAGTGAGTTGTTAATTGCTAATTGTAATATTTATTCTTTGATTTGGATATGTCTAGGATGCTTAAATATATATTTAGAAGAGAATTTTTTAAAAATAAATTTTTTATTGAGGTAAAATCGGTTAATAACATAAATTTCAGGTGTTCAACATTATAATTTGATAACTGTGTGCTTTACTGCGTGCTCACCACCAAAAGTCTGGTTTCTGTCTATTACCATATATTTGACCTCTTTTACCCATTTCACCCTCCTCCCACTGTCCATTCACCTTTGGTAACCACCTTTTTGTTTTCTGTATCTATGTTTGTTTTTGTTTTGTTACGTTTGCTCATTTGTTACTTTTTTCTTTTATATTCCACATATGAGTAAAATCAGACAGTTTTCATCTAATTTATCTCACTTTGCATATTATCCTCAAGATCCATCGATGTTGTCACAAATGACAATTTTTCATCTTTTTATGGCTCCATTGTGTGTGTGTGTGCGCGTGTGTGTGTGTGTATATATGCACACAAATACACACACACACACACACACCACATCTCTTTTATTCATTCCTCCATTTATGGACACTTAAGTTGTTTCCATATCTTGGCTATTATAAATAAAGCTGCAGTGAACATAGAGGGGTACACATAACTTTTTGAATTAGTGTTTTCATAAGGAGAAAATTCTTTTTAATCTGAATATATAGCTGCCAAAATGAAGTTTGATAATCTCAACTATGATATTCATTAACATGTAATGGATAAACAAATTGTGGTATATCTTTAGAAAAGAACTATTCAACAATAATGAGGATATATAAATTGAGGATTTTAAATGCCTAGTCCCAGTATCTTCAGATTGTGTATATGTGTGTTATTTTAGATGTATTTTCTTCTGGGACTCTTGTCAGAGAATAGATAATGACGAATGGTGGGGCTGAGATTTCCACTTCTTTTCATAAAAGAGAACTTGCTTAAAATGTGATACAGCAATTGGAAAAGTTAAGGTCTAAATCTCTTAACATTTCTTGTCTTTTGGGGTGTTTTTTTTTTTTTTGATAATTTTTTCTTGATATTCTTGAAATAAATATCTTGGAATTTTTAAAAAGAAGCTATTTGGTTCATGATAATAAAAAGGTAACAAGTTGAAAAAATAATAAAGGGAGTCCAGAGAAAATTAACATATACTAATATGCAAATACGTCACTCAGTTTTTTAAAAAAAAAAAATCTTCAATGAGATATCATTTATATGCAATAATTTCATCAATGTTAAATTTATAATTCCATGAATTTTGACAAACGTATACAGTCCTGTAACCATACTACAATGGAGGTGTAAAATATTTTTGTCACCCTCCCCCAAAAGTTCCTGTGTACCCCTTTGCTGTCAATCTTCTCTGCACTCCCTGGAAACTACAAATCTGTTTTCTGTCACTATAATTATGTCCTTTGTGTCTGGCTTATTTAACATGCATTTGAGATTGATCAGCGTCGTTGCATGTATTGATTGTGTCTTTGTTTCCTTTCTCTCCATGTTTCCTCCACTTCTCTGAATGCAGGAGCATATTTCTAATAGCATTTTTACTTTCTTGTCAGCTAATATTCCGTGATTTCTAGTCTAGTTCTATTGATTGAACTTTCTCCTAGTGGTGGGTTATATTTTCTTGTTTCTTTGAATGCCTGGAATGTTTTTATTATGTAGCAGACATTGCGAATTTTACGTCATTGGGTGATGCATTTTATTGTGTTTTTTCAGGTGATTTCGGACTTTCTTCTTGGAATCAATTGAGTCCTTTTAAGACTTGCTTTTAGGTTTGTTAGCAGCAGTCCAGAGCAACTGTTAGTCTAGGGCTAATTTAGCTTCATTACTAGTGTGATACCCTTTTGAAGTCTTTCCATTTTGGTGGGTGAAAGTACAAATTATGCACTGGGAATTATTGCTCTGCTGCTTTCTGGTGGATCTTTCCCAACCCCTGATTTCTTCTCATACATGTACAGATCAGCACTCTGCCAAAGGCTCAAGTGGACCCTTCTGAAGATCCCCCAAAGTTCTCTCTTTACACCTCCATCCTCTCCTGTACGCTGCCTAACGAATGCTAGCCACCTTAGCCAACTTCCATCTCTGGTGTCCACAGCTGACAAAACTGGGTCCCTCCCTGCACACACTTCCTGTTAACCTTCTCCATGGGCACAGTCCTGCACTGCCTGTGGCCCAATGTCTAAAGACCATTGTTTTACATACTTCTAGTTTTCTGTTGTTTACAGTAGGAAAATAAGCTGGTCCCTGGTAGTCCATCCTGGCCAGAAGTGGAAGTTTCTTATTCTTAATGTAGAGTAAGCATATTTTGGTATTGCTAGGGAAAAATTAGGGTAAATGGCTCATCATTTCTCAACATACTTAAATATAACACACTTTAATGTCTGCTTTATTATTTGTGAGACAGATGTCACAACTTAAGTGATGTTCAGAGTTCACACTAAGCTAATCTAAACTTGAGTGTTAGTCTCTGGTCAACTTGAAATTATTTACGTGAAGAGTATTAATTTGGGGTTGTTTGTGGCAAACTTATCTAGAGTAGCTTCCCATCAGTGGTGGATATGTTAGTATTCTAATTCTAAGGAAATTTGTAGCCATCTGTATTTCCAATTGATTAGTTTTTTAAACTGTATCATGTTTATGTTTTTAAAAATATTAATTTGCTGGCTTTCTAATATATATGAAAAAAATGACTAACTTTTTCTTATTTGTAAGTATTCATATATAAACCGTAAAACAGTCCTTAGCCCTTTGCGAGCTGGTCTTTAGAATTTATGGCTTGCTGTCTATGAGAGAACAGTTGTTCGGACATTTATTCCTAGACTGACCTACCATAATGTCAAAAACCAATCCAAATACTTAGTCAGTTAGCAATTAGAGAAATGTATGTTTTAATCCCTTTGTGTTATAGGGAAGACGAACAAAGAAGGGTTAAAAATATGATTTTTAGTATTATGGATATGCTGTTGCTGTCTGATCGGTGTTTTAGGGTAATGGTAACAAATACTCTTAAGAGGATAATTGGGGGCTCCAAATGGCTCTGTCTCTGGTCTTATGTGTAAAATTATTTACAGCATGGTTAATTAGAATGAATATTGAAATTGAGAGACCTAGGTTCTAGTATCAGCTGTGCTGCTTGTTACCGTGTGACTGTAGGCCAGTCATCACGTTTGTGATGTTTATAAAAAGAAGATAATAATAAATATCCTCCCTACTGAAAAGGGATGGTAGAGTGTTAAATGAGGTGGTATTGATGACAGCGTTTGAGGATGCTAATGTGAAATGGAGATATTAGTTGTTAAACTTTATTTTGTACTTTATTATAAAATCTGTCAACTCCTAATATGGTAGAATACAAAACAAGATATATTTGTTTGTATTTATATTCCATACAGTTAATTGAGCAAAAATATTTTATGTTGGAAAGGAAGAAATAAAATAGGACTAATTGATAGAATGGAGATAGAGGAGATTGCTGTCTTTTTTCCACTCCTTCCTTAGTATTATTTGCTTCCTTCCCCATGATTTTCCAGGCAAAGAGTGTATACAGCAGTTAGCTGAAAACACAAGGTATTTCAGGAGACGTCTGAAAGAGATGGGCTTCATCATCTATGGAAATGAAGATTCTCCAGTGGTACCATTGATGCTCTACATGCCAGCCAAAATCGGGTACATTTTGTTGTGGATTATACACTGGTCTCTATACTTAAGGTTTCTATGATGTGAGACTTAGGCTTTTGTATTTTGTTAAGGAAAATTGTCTTGGCCTCATTATGGTAACCTTTATTTGCTACATATGCAATAGATTAGTGGATTTCAATTTGTAAAATATGTTAACTTGTTAGACTTTCATTAAACAAACATTTGAGTTTAATGCACTCATTTCTAGGGGGAAGGGAGTAAGATAGATCAGCAAACAACACGCAGAAATAAAAATCCACTCTGTAGAGCTTACATTTTAGTGAGGCAAGAGTCAGACAAACGTAATAAATAAGTAAATTATGTAAGATGTTAGTAAGTGTTAAACACTATGGGGAAAAAACCAGCAGATACGGGGGGATCGAGAGTGCACTGTGGGTGGGCTGTTTACTGTATTAGATAGGGCGGTCAGGGTGATCCTCAGCGGGAAGGGGAGGTGACGTCTGAGCTTGAAGGGGCCGAGAGAGTTAGCCACTTGGAGAAAGAAGCTTCTATGCAAAGGCCATAATGTGGGAACATACTTAGCCAGTGGAAGAATAGCAAGGAGGTGAGTGGAGCTGAAGTGCAGTGCCCAGGGGGGTGAGTAGTGAGCCATAAGGTCAGGGTGTGTACTGCATGTGCAGATTACACCAGCTTTTTTGGCTTGCGCAAGGTGTATATAGTGGAAAGCCTTGCCCTGGAATACCTCCCAATGTATTTGAGAAGTACAGACATGTAACAAAACCAGAAGACATTTGAAAAGCAAATACAAAGTGAGCCACTATAATTATTTGCAAAATAATTGCATGTAAAATTGCACCAGAGATGTAAAATAATTCACATTTGAGTTTTGACTGGATTTTAAATATAAAATTGCATAAGGTCATTTCTCAGGTTTAATTGAAGTCTTTAAAGAAGCAATTATTTTCATTCATCTTTGAATCTCTAGTGCCCACCACAGTCCCTAGCATTCAGAGGGCCACTCAGTAAATGTTTATCAAAGTGAATATCAGAGGAAAATTAAATCAGTGCACTTGGAAATATGGTGATTCCAAGGATAATGAGCAGGAAATTGAGAAAAGGTGCTCATCGAGGAAAAAGAGGAGTTCAGTTTCCAACAGAAAGTCATATGGGCAGTTGGCGTTATGGCCTTCAGAAGAGATGGTGGAAATGAACCAAAAAGCAGAGGCGTAAGACTTTTCTCATTCTTTAAATGGAATTATCATGAACTCGAGGAATTATTCAGTCTAGAGGACTTAGTCTAGAACTCTTTAAAGAAAATTGTGTCTAATCTATTCTACTTAGATGAAACTGTGTGCATTATAATTGCGATTTAGAGAAGGGGAGGCAGAGTTGGAATAAAGCACTGGACAGTTTGGGAGCATGTGCTGAAGATGCAGGGCGCTCAGGCTCCTCTTGACACAAAGGAAGTACATGAAGGCAATGTATTTGTACTAGAG